AACATTTTCGACATCGTCTCTACCATTACTCCATGAATTTCCAACTACTTGACTACTAGGTCTATAAAAACCATATGAAATACCAATAAGAAGAAATATAATGAAAAGTGTATATTGCATTTTTAAAATGAAATTCAAATGATTGTCGATAAAAAAATATTTACATATATATAGAGAGAGAGAAAATGGAATGATTAACTTTTGATCCTTCTCTTTTTCGATTAATTTTCTCGTCGAAGAAATCGAATATTCCATTTGCGATATAGGCTTTGAAATATATATATATACTAATTTAAGACTAAATATAAAAGATTATTCAGTACGAACTATTTTATCATTTCAATATACTGTGCAGCTCATCAAGAACGGATTGAAACACCAAACATCTGAGTATAATATAAACCTCGTTTATATATCTATATATAGTATCATTGTTGAAAAATCAAATTTATTTTGTGTCCTTGAAATGAAGGATAAAGAGCATTATGATATCAAAATATCTTATATGACTTTTTACTTATTGTCAGTAAGAGCGCTTTAGAACATATAAGTTATTAACATTTCATCAAGGAGTGTGAACTATGGTCATCCTAGTGGCGTAACCAAGAGTGGCCTAGGCCGTGTATCGCGCTCTGCCACCAGAAGAAAGAAAAACGTAATAATACCGAGCAACAGCATCTTTTATTTTCTGTTAATGTTTTTTTTTAAATCAGAAGAGAAATGAAAAAAAAAAACACACGTTTAATGCTGATTTTTGTAGCGTAAAGAGTGCTCTTTCGGAAGTTAAATGTACTGTTGAATTTTATATCAAAATATAGCTTTTTTCTTAAAAATGACTGAGTCAGTTGATCGTTCTTATTATCTGGCCGTTTTACAATGGTAAAAAAAATGTTTTTTGAATTATTTCCTCTGTTAAATTTCTGTGAACTGAAATATTCCAAATAAATAACACAAAAAGAATTCAGTCCATGCGCGATTTCTGGAGATGATGACTAATGTTTTTTCAAACTTTCTTAATTAAGAAAAATCAGAGAAAGATCTAACAAATTTTGTGAAAGCTGATATTAATAGACTTTTTGATATATTTTTGTTCCAATTTGATTCATTCATGTAGCTCAAAATAATTCATGAATACCGATTTTTCAAGTTGAAAAAAAAATTGCGAGAATGTTTTTTTAGAAGTGTTTGATTTTAGGTTTTTCCTCTTCGTGAGGTTCGTTCTGGAAAAATATGTCTGATACAAAACTCGTAGTTCAGATATTGCTCTTTTGCAAAGACTTTTACATCGCATTAATTGATGTTTTTTGACTCGAACTTCATCTTAATAGTAGAGAATAATTCTATTTTTTTTATAATTTTTCTTAGAACTTTAATAAAACTAATTATACAAATTCTAGCTGCATTGGTCGGTACACCGACAAATGAGCTTCCAACACTCGAGCTCCTGACAAACGGGACAAAATGGAAGAAAATAATTTTATTTGAATAAGTTCACATTCACATCAAAAATTGAGCAGAACTCTTGCACATTTATAGTACAAGTCTCTTGTTATCAAATAAAAGTTCGAAATTAGCTATTGTAATTTTTCATCAAGAAGTTCATATTTAACACGTTTTTTTTAGTTTTACAAGTTAGACTTGTAATTGTTCAGCCATTATAAAATTCATTCATATTCTAAATATATTCTATATTCTATAATATTCCCAAAAATCATTCATATTCTATGGAAGATGCTAGAATTTCTTATTTCTTTGGACTTTAGTGTTTCCGAAAGGAAATATTCGTTTGAGCTGAATTTTTTAGGGCATTCTACTAACAAATAGACCTCTCTATGGAAAAAATATCACATCGAAATACCATCGTTCGATTTACTGGTATATACTAAGCCAGAGGCTAAAATTCTAGTAAAATGCCTATAACTCTCGATAGAAAGCCTGAGGAAATTTATCCTTTGGAAGTTTTTCATATCTCACTGGCGTCTACCTTATGCATCTGGTCCGAATTCAAAAGCGATTGGTCATTTGAAAATGTTTCCTTGTTTGTTCGACATTTCGATAGAAAGACAAATACCATTATATCAATAATCAGTCATATATCCAATTATAGATTATTAAAAATCTTTTGAATTTGTATATGATAATCAAACGATTTCAGATTTTATGATATTACTAATGATCATATTCAATACACTAATATGTCAGTTAGATGAATGGTCACATTTATTTCTAAATCTAGACATGTTATTTGAAAAATTAATACTCGATCGTCAATGAAACATTATAAACATTGAATAAAAAAAGAAATTCATGTTTTGCTTTTGTTTTGTGTAGTCTATGACATTGATTAATCCCATCTAGTTTTGTTTTTTTTTGCTCTATATTCTCTTTCGTTTTCTTTTTTTTTAAACGTTCATTTTACAGTATGGATCGAAAAGAAGTATATAACTATAAACCAAGCCTACAAGAAATTGTACCATCAACACGTTTTGGACAAGGTTTGTTTGGTTTAAAAAAATAAAATAAAATAAAACCTATTCTTCTTTTTTTTTGTTAAGCATTAGCAACACTTTTTTATTTAAAACGACACAAAAAACAAGATGATTATGGTCGTGCACCTGTTGTATCACGTCTTCGAGCACAATCAACATTACAAATAGCAGCATCACCTAGTGGCAATACAATGCGATTTGAAGTTTTAACACCTATAAAAACATCAACAAAAACACCATCACCTATTCCTGTATCTTCGTTAAAATGAAAAATAAAGCAAATTAAAGTTCAAATTTATCATATTCATGAATTCGAGCACTTTTTTGAAGAATATCAGCTAATAATTGTAAAATATTAGATGGTATACTTTTTAATCGGCTTCTAGTTATATATTCTTCATTATTTTCATCATTATTTAATTGTTTCCATAGATCATTTGCTGTTGGTAATGTTAAATCTTGTTTTGCTAATTCATATGTTGCTTGATGAAAAAATTCACGAAATATATCTTTATATAATTGATCATTTCTACCAAGTAAAAGAAGTAGATAAGCACGTGCATCTTCAATAGTAATTGTTCGTTTAGATAAATGACGAGTACCATGTTCATATCTCCATTGAAATTGTCCTTTATTTAATGAAACATAAATAGGTGGATTTTTTTCACAATCATTGCCAATAAAATCATCACGAGTATCTGGTGGTGCCATATCAATAGATAAAGCAATTGTTCGACCATGTGCTCGTACTTCATGAAATATATATGCTGGAATAAATAAACAATCACCTTCACGTAATGTAGCCCAATACCATGGTATATTATGTAAACATTTATATTTATATGCATTAACTAAATCCACATCAATACGAGAATAAAAATCACCATTTGTTTGTCGTATAAGATCAAAATCACGTGGAGATTGATTTGAAAAATCATAAATAATAAAATCTTTTCTACCATCTAATACACAATGTAATGTATTTTGTGAATGTGCTAGTAAAAGTGATGCTGTATCACCAGCACTTATCCATAGAACAGGTTCTAATAAACGATCACGAAATGTTCCACAATTAATAAGTGATGGTAATGGTGTTTCATGTTTCATTTCATCAGGTATAATTGTATTCATATATAAATCATCATGTCGATATTGTTCAAGAAATATTTCTAATGACATCATTGTTAATGTATCAACAAGACGTTGTTTTCGTGTAGCAACAGTTACATTTAAATGTCCATAAGTTTTTGATAAATAACTATCTGTCCATAAAACATCTAATGATGGAACCATACCACGTATAACTACTGATCGATTACCTTGAACATATAAATGATAAAAACGAGCTGGTTCCATATTAAGTGAATCTTCTAGTATAGGTGATTCAGCTCGCCGTTGCCAACCCAATGGACGTAGATGACCAAGAGGAATTGATTCACGACGTTCAAGAATAGGTGGAAATGTAACATATAAATTCATATCCTTTGGAAAATTACTACCATCATTGGCAGTAAAAATCCATATTATTTTCAATTGTATAAGAAGAAATGTTAATAATAACATGATATTGTTAAAAAAAGAAAAAGAAAGATTGGTATCTACTTAATTTCTTTTATAAGTAGTGTTGCCACCAGCTGGCTATTCTATGCATATAATTATTTTTATTTATTTATGAAAAATTCAGAGCAAAGAAAAAATAAATCTATATAATGACGTGGCAACGTTTTAGTGAAACACTCGATTATTTATTCAGATTAAATTTCGTATTGAATAGTTCCTAAGAAAATCGAATAATATAAATTTCGGATTTATATTAATAAGAGCAGTGAAAAAGAGAGAATATTATGAAAATTTAAAAATCTAATAGATGAAAGTATGCTCGACAATTATGCGTTTGAAAATTGCATAAAGCTATTTATATTATCTCATGCATGTGATAATATCTGAAATTTTCTCTTTTTCAATCAAGCTTAAGAACTATCCGAATTAATATCCATCGTTTAAGTTCATATTGGGCTTACAAGGATGTCTTGATGAGACTAGCAAAACTCTAAGCTCTTTCTTGTTGAGACATCGAATTTCCAAAACAAAAGAACACCCGTTTGCCACAGACGTGTTACAAAAACAGGATTTACCTAAAAATTGAATATCTCGACGAAAGAACATTCTTTCCGGGTGAAATTTTCAAGATATTCTACGAATCACTAGATCTATCTATGAAAAAAATTTGACGTCGAAATACTATTTTTTGATTCTTCTGTTCCTGAAACGTCCTTGAGGGTCTAATATAAGCTTAAATAGCGGGAAGAGTCCGTCAAGCATGGTTCGGGTCTGACATTTTTCTGTTAACTGGGGTTCTGATCTACAAGTTTTTCATTAACAGGGTCCATGTCCGAAAACTTTGGACCCAATGAGCTCTAACGGCGGGTATCAATTAGAGTAGTTCTCTTGATAGAGACATCAAATTGAAAGATCATTCATCTTGGAAAAAAAATTTTTGCCGCGTTATTCACATTGAGTAAATGACTGGTATATGTATTTAATTAACTACTTTTTGCGTAGATCGATGTTTAAATTTTTTTTTTATAATGAAAATGGTAGATCCTAGATTAAAGTTTATTCAATGACTTTCTTATGTAATTATTTTCTAGTTACATAACACTTCATACCTTTCTTTTACAATAAATTGAAGTTTGCAATAAAAAAACAACAGATATCGTAATATATTGAAAAGAATTATCTGCTCTTTCGAAATATTATTTTTGATAATCATATCCTATTTTCTATACGTTTTTTTGTTAAATGAATATTTTCTTTTATTTTTTATTTGTTTATGTTTAATACAAAACAACAAGATTAATTAGGTTTAACAATAGTTAATGATTTTCCTTCATTTGCTTTAACTTTGCTAGCACATTGTTGTTCAATATTTTTTGCAATTTCTGTTGTTAAACGTTGTTGTACAGCTTCAAGACCTGTTTTACCAGTATTCATAGTAGTTTTCTTTTTTTTATTCATTTTTGTTTTTGATATTTTACCATGATCATTTTTTTTTGTTGCTGATTTTTTTTTAATATTTGATGGTAATTGTACTTTGGTTTTTAATTTACCTTGTGGCATTATTTTTGTTTTTTTTTCTAATAATCTAAAATAATGAAAACTAAAAAAATTAGACTATATTTTCTGTTTTTTTGCTACAGATTTATATATTAGGATTTATTTGTCCATGAAAAAAGATCACGTAAAACAAGACATTGAGCTAAATCGTCTTCATTTTGTGGTCGATATAAAGGTTTTTCTCCATCATGATAAATAAATCTAAAATCAAAAAATAAACAAAAAAATATTTCAATTTTACTTTTTAAGAATACTACATACGGAAAACGTAAAACCCATATAGAATCTTCAGTAAGATGAATTGGTTGAGTATAACTTGGAAAAAATGTTGGACTATTTGGACCAGCTGGTACAACTTGTGGATGAAGTACACATTGAATTGGTGTCGATGACGATGGTGTTACAACAAATGCACGCATTAATTGTGCCCATACACGTGCACCAGTAGATAATATTCGACAAGAACATGGAGTATATAATGGCATATCAGATCGAACTAATTTAGCACCATCATCCTAATATGACAATAAAAAACAAACATTATATAATAGAAAAAAAAACAAACGAACTTTGACAATTCCATTTGGACCAACACGAATTACATGATTAGGTGATGAACACATAAATCTATGACCACGAGGACATTCATATTCACATCCAATATAAACACGAATAGTAACATCCCAAATTGATGAGCTAGCTGCACCTGAAAATTTATTACATTAAACCAAAAAAATCAATGCAAAAGCAGACGAAATTTTTTGAATGAACTTTAAATTTGAGACATTGTTCTTCAAAGATTTTATAAAAAGAAACTGAATCCATTGGAATAAAAAGAGCACAAGTAGAGCTATATTCCAATATCTATAGTTCTTTGGTCTCAAATTCAAATTTACAGGGCCCTGCACCAGTATTTTATCTAGACTTTCTCTTCCAGAAGGACGAACACATCGTACATGGCACAAGAATTACAAATCCTCGGGTGGCCCTGGCCAGTTTAACGATGACTCAACACTCAGAGTTGAAATTTTCTATGGATAGAGTATACACATTCTGACTGTATTTTTGATACAAACCATCCTTCAAAAGACAATTTCGTGATGAAAGTTATACTTAAAATAAAATCACCCATTGTTATATTAATGAATGAGATTTTTTTATAAAAATAAAAACTAACCTCGTCGATTATTTTTATAACTACGTGTAGCTGTTGTACGTTGTTGATGATATTGTGCAGCACCACCACCAGCAGCATTCGTTGTTGACGTTTGATTATTATGTGGATTTATATCCCATGGTATGAGATGATTTAAATTAGTCAAAAAACCAGGTTGTTGAAGACCTAATAAGAATTTTTTCTTTTCAAATATACAACGATTAAATATTGGTCATTTGACTACCAACATAACCAGTAGAGACCAAAAACGAACCGAACACAATAAAACTTGGTTCGATTCGTTTTTCTGATAACTAACATAACCATTAGCTAAACGAAATTCTAAACCATTCATACAAATCTTCAAAACAATATCTTAACTTTTACTTTTATTATCTCAAAAAAAAATGTATTCCTATGCTTAACTGTACACTTCCATATAAAATCTGTATTGTAAATTAAACTTAATTTTAAATTACCTTTTGCTGGTATATAATCTGATGCTCGACCAATACAACATAAACTCCATGAACTATATCGAGGTAATAATCCAGGTGGACTATCGGAATGTGTCATGCCATCAAGATATTCAGTTGTACTCGGAATAGGTTGTTCATCATTAGCACATGTAACTGAGTTGTGTCTATCTAATTTGTCACCAGTTATATTATCTAATGCTTGTTGTTCATCGTCTGGTACAGGTGAATAAAGTGTAATCGATTTTGATTGACCTGTTTATTTTATTCAATTAGATTATATATATAAGTATATAATTAAATGAATAGAAAAAAATATATATTTACTTAGTTCAGATGCACCACTAAGATCTTCAGATGGTTTAGAAAGTTTTAGCTCATTTTTAGGGTTATTATTAACTAAGAAAAAAACAAATAATCAATATAATAAAAGCAAAAACAAAATTGTTTTTCATACAAGCTCGAATTTCTGTAGATGTAATAGTTCCACGAAAGATTGGAAATTCAAAATAAATTGGTTTTACTGATAACATTTTATTAACATCTTGATAAAAATCATAATTAGCTTCCTAATTGATAAAACAAAAAAAAGCATATGGTTTTTTTAAATATATATATATATATATATATAAATCACTTTTAAATCAAATGGATCTTCACGTTCTTGTAAAATTTGACCACAATTACTAGCTGCCATTAATTGGATCTTTGAATAAAAAGAAACAAGAATAAAGAAAAAAAAAAGAAGACATAGTATTCATTTCATACTTTGCTATTATGTGCTCGTACAGGTAAATGTGCAAGATTAATTGAATCACTTGAATCTTCTTCACCAAGTACACGATGTAGCTAAATATAAGTAATAACTGTTTTTTTTGTTAAAGATAATCAATCTTCAAACAAAAGTACGGACAAGGAAGATATCGTTACTTTTTCAAAATGATAAAAGTAACTGTCTTTCGTATTCTACATGAATACTTCATTCAATCGGAGTCAAATATATCTTGCTGATAGATAATCATAAATTCTCGTTCGATATCAATCAACTGAAGAGGGATGCCTTCCAATTGATAAATCATTTTTGAGTTAGGACTATGCGCATCATATAGATCTTAATGAGTTTTGAATACAATGAAAAGAGTTCGAGTTCGTAGATTATCAATGTGGAGATACTGCTTTTTATAGAGACAAGCCTTAATGAAAGTAGTTTATTGTGAAAGTTACAGACATTTTAATTTGTTTCTATCTTGAAGTAAGAACATCGAATCTGCCATTATATATGAGCAATGTAAAAGACAGGCTTTTACAATAGCTCTATCTTAAGATAAGATTTGAAAAATTCACAAAAAAACCTATTCTTGTTAAGAACTGTTTCAAGTCGAAATTCGAAAATCAGTTTTTCTTATGGGGAACCATAGTATTCGTTTAAAAATTACCGTAAAAGTGCAGTATTTTCGCACTAGAGCCCATCGTTTAATCTCGGATCCGAAAATTTTGGATTCCACAGGCTCTACTCCACAGCAATAAGCTAAGGACCTGAATTCTTTTCAGAGTATTCATAGCTCATTTGATTCAATATAATACACATAGTCTTGACTAAAAAGCGATTTATTAGTTGAGAAACTTCCTTAGTGAGTTATGTACAATATATATGCTTATCTTGATTGTTCATTAATACACAAAATATTTACATCTAATTAAATACTGTTGTATTTATTTTCGTAATTAATGATAGTTCTAATTTTCCAAGAATGACAATAGAAAGATCACTTTTTAAACAGATTTTCTTCTATAATATTGATTAGAATATCGCTCAAGCTTTCTTTTCAAAAAAACTAAGAAGTAAAGGATGGTTCAACGGTGCAAGCGAAAATTTACAATCTTTGATTGAGCAGCTGTAGTCGTGACATGCGTGGCGTATCTCGTACGTAAAACAGGAAAATGCTGATTACAAAACTTCATAAAAGCATGTCATATTGTTTTTAGCATTAGATTCGAAACAAAACTTATTTTATGTTTCTAATGGAATACAAAAAAAAATTCCTTTTTTTGACCACTTCTGATCTTCACAACAGAATACAATCGATTAGATTAAAATTTTTACCACAAACAGAACACCCAAAAATAAGGAGACATGATTTCAAGGCAAAAAATATACTGACGATTTTCACACGACTCGCATTAAACATTGTCCGATTGGGCTGAAAATTTGTTTTTTGTTTAGACATTTCATCAAGTCTTCAGCTTTTAGAGTCCTATAAATCTGGACATTAAGATAAAAAAAAAAGCCAATTCTATCTCTGCTAGAATACTGTCAAGTATCTAGAGGAAAAATTTCAGCCTGGTCGGTTATACTCGGTACTCGAAAATCATTTTCATTTATAAGAATATTTGTAAATCAATAAAAAATTTTCTTTTTCATACTTCATTTTTACATGGATTTCCTGTAAGACTAATTGCTTCACATAATTGTCTACCATCATGCCATAAACGTGTACATTGTTCAATAAGTTGTTGTACATAACGTTTATAACTTGAGCCACGTGCATATGTTGCAAAAAATTCAATTGTTGCTTGTAACTAAAAAATTTTTCTTTTCTTTTTTTTTCCGAAAAAATAAATTATTTTAAAATCTTTGATACAAACTCGTTGTTCATGAAAAAGTCGAGTATATCTTGATGGTAAACCATCTTCATAATATTTAATAGCCATAGGTAAATATTTTTTACATCGTGTTTCATTTAATTTTCCATCAGGATCAATATTAGCACGAAGCATACCAAATGCTTGTCGCATGATTTTATTTGTTGCTGGTATTGTTTCAAATAATTCACGTATAGAATTAAATAAATTTATCCATATTGGATATATACATAATTCAAATGATGATGATTCACTACGTGCACCACCTGATATACCATCATTGGACCAACCATCTGTTAGTGCTTCTTCAATATGACGAAATAAAAAACGTTTAAAAGCATATGCATCATCTTGTTGATGAGTATTTGAACGATTAAAAAGATTTGAATTACTTGCTAAATTAAATATTGTAGAAAAAAAACGAGAGAGAATTAGATATTAAAAAAAAATAAAAGTTTAAGATTCTTTTTTTTCTATTTACATGAATCTTTTGTTTGTTTAACAAAACCTTGTAAAATTCCGAGTAATTTTTGTGTTTGTCCTAATGATGAAGATTCTTTATAACAACGATGAATAAATACAAATGGTTGTTTATGTGCAATGGTAAATAAGGCTGAATTACTATAAAGAATAAATAATGTTTAGTTCAGTTTTGTGAAATACAATGTAAAAAGAGTCTTGAAGTAGAAAGGACTAGGGCAGGTAAGACGATTTTTCTCTCACCAATCAACTTTTATCATTTGGTAGTAAGACATGATGATGCCTGATGATATTTCACAGGCTGGTTTTTATATAGTTAACCAAAAGATTTTTGAGACCTGTAGTTCTCTACGAGGATTCGTGAGAAACTTTTTATCTGCGAGTCTGTTGAAACACACATTTATGGACAGAGCCAAGTGCACTGATTGCGAATATCAGTATATCAAATATTCAAAGTCTCTTAATAAACAACAAACGCAATGCTCTCCTAAGCACTTGTGTGGCTTCATATCCAATTTTCGTGTATATATCTTCTCCATTGATTATTTTAATATAGTTTACTCGAATATGAACTATAGAAGCTTCTTCGGAGTATGATCGGTTATAAAAAGCTATTAGTGCAATTTCTGTGGGATTAAAATGTGAAACACGACTTAACTGTTGTTGCTAATCACAGGGAGATTATTTTATTTTATCTATTCTGCGACACAGTTCTTCATTGTTCTTTTACTTAATCCTTAAGAAATGCAATAAGGAAGTATCTTGTATATAATAATGAGATGTTATTGATATGCAGTCTCAGATTGCGTATTACTAACATCTGTCACAGTCTGTGACGCGGAGACGAAACGTTACTAGGGTGTCAGTCATTTCTGTGATGAGCTATTTCTAATATGTGTCTGTCGATTCTGTATGTCATTGCCTGTGAGGAGAGGTGGATGAAAATTTCTACCCTATATTCTTCAACACTCCTTTTGGTTCATGCTTCACAAAATAAAGATTATCAGTCCAAAATTTGCTTCTCTCCATTTTCTATGAAAATTGAGAATTTCAAAATCTTCCGATAGGTGACTAGAAGCAGTGCGAAATTTGGATAGAATAAGTCATTTTCAATGCTCTATTGGATGTTGCTTCAAAGTTTTTGAAAGTTCTCTGAAAATTTTTCTAGAATCTTGAGGGTTTCACTGGGAGTTGAGCTCATCATCACGTTCATCACATCCTTCTTTAAGTGTTGATATAAATATTTTTTTAGACTTTTTTATTAATTTCAATAGAGTTATGTCTTTTATATAGTTAATCACAGAAATGAATGTTTCGATTCCGTATATCGGCAATATTAAGTATTTCAGAGAGCTGTATTCAAAGTTTATTTAATATAGTGGATTCGGTTTCCATTGAAACTCGTAAGATCCTGGAATAAGTTTTCCAAAGAACCCGCAAAAACCTTGAAGCACAATTTTTTTTTGCTTTTTGAATATAGCATCCGATAGAGCATCAAAAATGTTATATTCAGTACAAATTTTACATTACTTCTAGTTTTCTATCAGAAGGTTCAGATATTCTCAGTTTTCGTAGGAGATAGAGAACAGCAGATTTTATAGTTCATATCCGAGTAAACTACATTGTGTTAGTTATTATGAGTATTTTTTCATGACGTTACAATAATCTATGGAGAGGATATTTATACAAAAACTGAGTGTACAGCCAAAAGAAGCATTTGAGAAAGCATTGTTTTTCTTTTTTATTAAAAGACTTTGAGCACATGCTGATATTTGTAATTAGTGTACTTGCCTCTATCAATGAAAACGCTTTGGTCAGTCGTTCTATTTCTGGGAATGATTTATACAATCTTACATTTGATTAGAAATAATATAAGAACATCTCAGTGCATTAAAAATAATGTCTTCTAAATTATGAGCCATATTTATTAATTTTTGATCATCATCTCGATCACCACCACCAGGTATATCAGTTCCTTTATGATGATGATTTTCAAATATAAATAATGCACGTGGTACACATAGACGTCCATCATTCATATAAATATCAGTTTCTTTAAATAAATTAAGTGAACGAATTGTTTCTAATATAGCTGGTTTAGTTTTATGACGTAAAAGTTCAATAATACGAAAAAATCGTAAATAATTTAAATCAAATGTATGTGATGAGTGAGAAATCTGAATTAACAAAAAAAAAATAATAATAATAAACGAATAATTAATATTACACAAGTAATTTCAAAGAAAATAATAAAACTTACAATAATAATATGTGATAGAAGAAAACAAATAAGACTTTTTTTAATAAAATTTGCTTGTTTATTTTCCCATAATTGTGCAAAATTTTTTATTGATGTATCATCATTAATATTATCAATTAAATGAAGTAATTGATATGTATCATGAAATGAACGAAGATGAACATATATTGTATTATTTAAATGATCATAATAATATTCAAAATCATCTTCATTATCAATAATAGAATGTTCTTTAAATGAAGGCATTTGTATAAGTTGATTTAATTTCCAAGATTTATTACATTGTTGTTCAAATAAAGTACTTTTACCAATTAATGATACAATACATAATCGATTTTCTTTTTTACCAGAACTATCTACCATATCTATTTCTTTCTATCAACTATCTAAAGAATAAGATTTTCATTTTGTTTTTTTGCTAATCATAATTCTCATATTTTGATAAAAAATAAATTACATATGAATATTTTCATTTGTAAAATTATTAATATTTTTAAATATTTAAAAGGACATGATAGGCTAAGCAAATATTAGATGGAAATAAGCAAAAACAACAAAAACAAAAACAAGCTGGGGTTGTAAGAAAAAAAAATCTATAGGTTTAACCAATGGGAAAATATTATTAAAAAAACAACGCTTGTATTCTTCTTTTTTCCTGTATACCAGCTAACAAATTAAACACAAAAATGAGGAAACAGCGGATAAAATATCTATACAATGTCTTAAAGCAATAAATAAAAAAAAAAGAAGATGGCAACAAGAACAAAAAGAAAAAGTTCTTTTTTCTTTTGTATACAATTATAATTTCGATGTCAACTAGAAATTCAAACAAAAAGGCACACAACAAATTATATGTTCAAGGTACACACACAAATTATTCGTTTATTACTACTGTTCCATATTATGATAAAAAATGATTTGCTTTTTCTTATGAGATTATTTTATCCTTAGAGGACTTCAACATAAGTAGCTGGATAAAGACCAACACGATTGCCAACACGTCCTTTACACCAACCTTGATCATCTTCATCTTCTAATTTAGTAAATACATCACCTAACAAACAAAATAAATAAATCTATGTAAAAAGAAAAGAAAAGAAAAAGAATTTTACCTTGTTTAAATGATAATTCATCTGGTTCTTGTGCTTCATAATCATAAAGAGCTCGTACAGGTGCACCGGCACTATTATCAACTGATGAAACTCCTGTTGATATTGGTGATTGATATGAACGTTGAAGAGATGATGGTGGTGAATCAACATCATCATCATCTAAAAATGGATTAGCTGCTGCTGGATATGGTGGTGATTTATTATCATTAGTTGGATGTGTTGATAAAGATGGATAACCCCCATTGTTTGTTGTTCCACTATAACTTGAACTAAAAAATAAAAACAATGATTATCAAAATAATAAAATTTAAAAAAAACCAAAAAATGTTTTGATAAATACGTGCATATCATTATTAGAATGTTTTTAGTTTGAACTTATCATGCAAAAGATAAAAGCGTTTAGATTTCGATATAAAATCTCATTGTCATTTTAACACCGTGAAAAATAATAAGCAAGTAGAAATGCAAAAGAAAAATAAGAAGAGAAGCTTCGATTTTTATCTTTCTACCGATTAGTCGTTGACTTTTCTTTTAGTGATATATCATTATCATCTTCATCATCTTCGAAAGGATTCGAATAGCTTGTAGCAGTCGTATCCAATGTGGGATAAACAGACGAACGTGCACTGTACGCTGGTGATTGATTTATAGAGCTATACAAAAATAGACGATAAATAGGATAATCAAAGAAAAACATATATAACACAAAAAAACAAAACTCAGCTCATAGGAGCCCATGCTAATATGGTTTATATATTAAATCAGCAGGTGCGTTCGAGTTTGGAAAAAATGCGAACCCGTAGCTCCCTAATACTGATAGTGAGGTGTATTGCCGCATATTGAACTTAACTGATTAAAAGTCCAAAATTTTCATCAAGGCCGGTTTCTGAAAAACCGAATTTATAGAGATATTCTTGAGTCCCGCAACAAAAATTATTTTCTTATCATTATTTAGAAATTCTGAAGAAGGATTTTTTACTGTTTCGAATTAGTTTTCAATTGCACATTCAGTTATAAGAATTTTACTGATAACTTCTCTGAACAAAGGTCTCTAGCACTGACTTTTTTCGGGGTGGGTAGAGTAACTTAGCATGCATATAGCATACACGAATTAGCTCTAGGAAAGGACATTATCCTGAAATACACATGTTTTAATTTTACGAAGTCATGCCGCTAATGAATAATATAATGCATATAATCCTCTGTATCAAATAAACGGAACATCGAACTTTTCCGATTATTTATTCGATTCGTATTTATATCACAAATACAGAGCAGGTCTTGAAATCAGGCCACTTTTTTATGATCTGGTCCGAACATTGTTTAGGCCGCCCGGCTCGATTGAACTTTTGTTCAGTCCAGCTCGGGTCCGAAAGAAAGCTCGTTTACAAAGATTTTTTTTTGTTCTCAATAGACAGCTATTACATATTTTTCGACTTTTATAAAAAAAGCGATGACCAAGGGAGACGAGGTAGCGTGAAGAAGCTTCCTCCTATTCTCCCTCAAATGTGAGCCAAATCTCAGAAAAAGTTACGACAAAATATTTCGTTGGGTCGGGCTGGGTGGTCCGTTTCGAGGTCTGGTACAGAGTTTATCGGTCAAATTATTTTGAAAAGTTTTAGCTTTAAATAACAAAAAAAAATTCATTGAAGGAAGTATAGCAATATCTCAAGTGCTCTATTGTAGGTAGAATAAAAGTTGCCTTTTCTTCACATCAATATTTTTAAAATGAATAGAATTTTATAAGTGAGCTTCAGGCAGAAAATGTCTCATACAGCACAAAAGCACTTATAAAATTCTATTTATTTAAATATTAACAAACAAAGAAGTAGAACAAGATATTTTTGTTACTACTAGAGACAAGTATATTGATTAAAAAGTTTGTTTTTTTACTTGTGATATAAATACGAAAATATTTCGTTTATTTATACACAAAGAGAATATATGTATTCTAAAAAATTTCTATTAATTTCTTACTGAGTTGATAAACGACTATCAGAAGGTGAAGCAAAATTTGCTGGTCCATTATTATTTGAACGAATAGCAGTAACAACTACTGGATTTTCTCGTTCAATATCACCTTTACCACGACGAGAAAGTGTACGATGTGATTCTGAATATTCCTACAAAAAAAAAAGAAAAGACAAATAAAAATAAATATTCATATTTTTTTTTTTAGATTCGTCAATATTGGTTAGCAAAAAAAAGAACGAGCCAAGCAAAAGAAAGAAACAAAATAATATATATGTACACCCAATTTAAAAGAAAAAATATATATATATATATCGTCAGTATATAGACAGCAAAGAAACCAATGTATAAGTTTTTTTTTTCTAATAGTGGGAGCCTAAGTATATGTATTTATATATATGTGATGATCTACTTCACGCTTGGCACGATCTCGACGAATACGTGTAACAACAGCTGCAGTTCGTCTCATCGATCGACGAATAGTTGCATATGAATCGACAACTAAAACAGCAGCATTTGTTTGACTAACAATCTGTGCTAATGGTCGTCGATAACATATATCATAACCCAATGATAAATCACCAGAATAAGAAAAATAATTAGGTTGTGATTGTTGTTGTTGATGATGATGATGATGATGATCTAGATTTGTTGATTCCTAAGAGGTGGCAAGGCAAGGCTGATAATAGAAGCAAGACAGGAAAAAAAAAACAAAAGCTTTTGGCAAGTTTGAGCAAAAAAAAAAAAGATCAAGGAGAAGCATTCATAAAAATTTATAAGATAAATTATTGAAATAGAAAGTAAAATACCTCGAATATTGGCCAATTCATTTTCATTGTTGCACCATATGTTTCCGACCACCATGATAAATCTTTATCTGGATCACAATTTTCAATTGTTTGAGAAAATTGTTGAAATATTGGTGATCTAAGAGAATAAAAATTCGGTTTGAAGTTTAATATTAATCGAATTCATTTTATATTGAATAAATTGATCCGATGTTTTGTTTTCCTTTTTCTATTTATTGTGATAACACCTACGCCTTCCTATCAACATTTATCTTATCAATTAGAAAAAAAAACGCAATATATTTAACGAAAAATATTCAAGTTTCTTTTTTGATACAATGACTTTTGAACTATTCTGTATAACTTTCATTTACAATTGATCACGTTCAGACATATGGCAATAATCGATTAATTTTATCTCATACATTCAAGATGGATCATAAAAAGAAAATTACAATATCTCCACTTCAATTCAATCTAATGAACTCTTTAGAGATTTTTTTTTTCTTTCTTATCGATAACATATAAATAAATAATATTTTGAAGTATCATTATAAAGTCTCGTAACATAGATTTAGATTGATCTCATAGATTGTTTTGCTTTGTTACGTAAGACAATAGTATACAAAAAAAAAAAGAAATAACAAAACGAACTTTATAAATGATAGAAATTTTCAAGTGTGTAACGTTCTTATTTTTTTTTTTTGTTTTGAATTGAGATCTGACAAATTCAATTATACATTCGAATTATTGGATATGAATTCATACATTTAAAGAAACTAATTGTAAAAGTTTGCTTGGTGTGTGTTAATATAATAATCTTAATAAAGTTCATGTAATCGATTTTTGTTTGTTCTCTTATTATTTTTCTTCGATAGACATCTCTAATAAACTCAATAATAATATTTCAATGCAACATGTATTTATATTATCTATATCAAAAACAAAAAAAAAAAAGAAAACATCTAAATAACCTATTAGGTTGAATTGAAGTGGAAATATTCTAATTCTTTTTGTAATAGTAGAATTCAATTTACTTACTTTAATCGATTACTAACATCAAGATATTTTTCGGTAGTAGCTAAAAATTCTTGAAATTTAATAAGACGATCTTTTTCAAATGATTGACACCGGTGAAAAACCTTTCATAGAAAGAAAACAATATAAATAAATAAATAAAATTATTAATATGAATTAATATTTACATCGTTCATATCATCCATATATTTTGGATTAGCTCGATTAAGATCTTGAAGTGCTTCGGCATATTTAACTTTAGCAGAATCTTTTTCTTTACGACATCGTTCAACTTTTTCAGCAATTTTAGCACGCTAAAATTTAAAAAAAAACTCTTTTTCAAAAATTTTAACAGTCATATTTATTTACTTGTTCTTGTGGAACTGCTGCATCAAGTTTAGAATTATTTTCTTGTGTTTCAGCTGTTTTAAGATTTTTTGTTGCAACATGATATTCACGTTTATATTTATCAACTTTACCATATAATTTAGCCCATGGTTTTTGAGCCTATTAAAGAAAAAAAAAAGCAGCGGAAGATCAAATAATGAGATTAATTGAAAGGAAAAAAAAAAGTAAAACACAAAAAATACGAACTCGTTTAAATTCTTCATCGTATTCTTTTGTTGATTTGATATGCATCATTGATTTAACATATTTTCCTTTTTGCCATCCTTTTATTGCTGGTATAACTTCATTTTGTAAATCATCATGAACATTTTGATGAACGTCAGCTGTTGCATCAGCTTCAGCCATGATTGCTTTCCAAGCTGATGTCATTGAACCAAATTCAGATGCTTAAAAAGTAATAATAAAAAAAAAGAAAGCATTCAATAGAAATACTAATTATAAAAGAAAAAAAAAGATTTACATTTTGCTACATAATCAGACCATTTTTTTGACCAACTTTTAAGTGTTTTTGAAAATGCTTTTTCAAGTTCAGCACGTTCATTAATCATACTAATAAGATCGGTTGTTAATTTATTTCCATCGTCACATCGTTTTATAACTCGACTATATTTACCAATCTATAATAAATTAAATTATATAAGAAAGTCATAAGAAAACAAATTCTATCTTTTTTTTTTTTTTGTTTTTCTAGAGCTTAATACATACTTCCCAAAATGAATCACTTTGTGGTAAATAAAGATCATTGTCTGTATTTGATTTATCACTAATTATTGAATCCATAACAGAATAACTAATAGATTAAAAATGAAACAATCTAAAATAGAATTGAAAATTGCCTTTTCTTTTTTTGAAAAACAGATTATTTTTACTATTATCATTGATATATCACAAAATTTAAAAACAAAAAACTTGTCATTTAATCCATAGATAAATGTCATCTCATAGTGCGTTTCTATCACGCATAAAAAAAAATAAAAAACACATTCATATCATGTGATATAGAAATGGAAAGAGAAAGTACAAGGTAAAAAATAATTATAAGACATGAAATCAACAATACTACCATTATTATTTTAAAAAAAAAACCATATGCCTTTCATTCAATTATAAAGAACAAACAGACGTTAGGACTTATCCTTCATTTGTAATTTTGATGAAGAAGCATAAAAAGAAAAAATAATAAATTACGAGAATCTTCGGTATCATATTTAGAAAGGTATATAGAAAAAGAAAAGAAAAACATTTGGATCTCTTAAGTCGTATTAATCTATTAGCACAACATTCTCATCAACCAGATTCAAGTCAAATGAACCATATTACTTGGTTGTGTGTTGGTCTTTTTCTTTCTCTCATATTTTCGATCAAGTTTCTCCCTTTTCACAAAGTCTCTCGTTTTTTTTTCTTCTTTTTCTTCGTCTTTTCCAGTGTTCTAGATTTTTGCAAAAGACACAAAAAAAAAGAAGAAGAAGAAGAATATAGAAATAGAAATACACGACCGATTTGAATTGATTACTTATCGATTGTTTCGATAACCTAGAGTATGAGAGAAAAAAAAATAAAATGACAACAACAATAATGACTTTACTTAGTAAAATCCTTGACGATTGCAATAGAAATAAATGAGATAGAAAAAAAAAAAAGATAAGGATGAATGAATATTATACGGTCTATCGGTAATAGACAATGATCATATCGTATATATGTTGTTAAACTAAACTAACGTTTAAAATATTTTATACGAGACAGACGATTATGATCTTCATATTTCTATAGTCATGTCTCTCGTTCAGTAAAATATATTATTTTTATTTTCCCAAATGAGAAATTAGTCAAACTATTCATGTTCTATTTCCTTAAGGAAACATAAATGCATAAAAAATAGAAATAAATTTATCAATGGAAAAAAAGAAACTAATGTCATATGGATATATTGAAAGAAGCATTACCTGTGCAATATAAACTATTGTTATTATTGTTTTTATTCTGCTTCTTCTGTTCATTCACAGTTCAGGTCAATCGATGCCTTATCGACAACATCAACACTACCGACGCCTCGACAACAACGTAATGTCAGTGAGCATATACATACGAAAAGAGAGAATGAATTGAAGTATGTGAACGAATAATTGTTCGGAGTTCATCTCCGTTGTTATGGTAAGAGAAAAAGAAGGAAGATGAGAATGAACGATTTCTTATGGTTGGTATGTGATGTTCAATGTATAACTATGTACCTATATTATTGAACATTCACGAAAATGTAAATGATCTTGAACTCATACGATCATTGAATCAATGAATGTTGACCTTCGTTCTCTTTTATGTTAATGAAAGAATTTAGATTCAATGTTAGTCAATTGAAAAATTCCTATGTTAATTATAGAAAGAAATTCGAATTGAAAATCTATTATATTTATTCATTTTTATATCATTTTTATGACACATTGATAAAAAAAAAGAAGCTAAGTCAATCTTACCAGTAAATGATATCTTTATATAACAAAGGTAATCTGAAATGTGTATATATTACTTGTCTAAAAAGTAAAATAGCACGAATTCTGATGTGCTTAGAAAGGCAAAAGTGAATGAAGAAGTACAAAAATTTTCATGACTAAGCGCAAATAATAATAAACAGAAGGAAGGAAAAAAAAGGAGAGGAGAAAAAACACATTCTTATTGCTTCATTGGTAATTAGATAAGGTCAAAATATAATTAATTATATTCTGATTTATTTTATTTGAATATTTTATTTTAAAAAAGTAGTTTTAACTATAATTCTCATATTTTTCATGAAGAATAAACAGATGTCGCTAAATAAATAGCCAATTACTAATCAGTTTTCCGGTACAACTAATCGCAATTCAAAAACAAACAAGAACTCGTTACAAATTATTTTTCTTGTGCACATAGTAGTTGCTAGTTTATTTGTTAAAAATAATGGCATCTTTAGTAAGTCGTGGTTTAGCACAGTTAAAGAGTAAAGAGATGCGTGATTATTTAATGAGGTAAAGTATATAATATATTGTATAATTATTATTTTAATTTTTTTAAATAAATTTTAGCACGGTAAGAAATGATATAAATGCTTTGTTTGACCATCTTATTTATTTTTATTCTATTCATATGAATAGCATTTTTGGGGACCAAGTAAATATTCTTATTGATTAATAATAAATTCATGCAGAAAAAAAAATTCTTTTTTTTTTTGTTTTTATTTATTTTTAGTTGCTAATTGGGGTTTACCATTAGCTGCTATAGCAGATTTAAAAAAAGATCCTGAAATTATTAGCCCAAAAATGACTGTTGGTAAGGATTAAATAAATGATATTGAAGTTCATTTTTTTTTATTTTTATTTTCACATAGCTTTATGTTTCTATTCAATGCTATTTATGCGTTTTGCTGTTCAAGTAAAACCAAAAAATCGACTTTTGTTTGCCTGTCATTTTGCTAATGAATGTGCACAATTGGTGCAATTAGCAAGATTTCTTAACTACAAGTATAAAATTTTTCTTTTTATTTGTTTTTTCTTAGTAATTGTTGTTTTTTTTCCTTTAAGATATGGTACACCACAACCGATGAAACAATATCAAGTTCCATCAACTGCTAGTATACCAAAAACAAATACACCAACATCCGCTCAACTTACACGTCCTACATAAAGAAATAAAGATTAGATTTAAAAAAAAAACGACTTGCAGTAGTTTCGTAGTTTTTTTCTTCTACTTTAGCATTTACTGTTCTTGAGAAATTTTTTTTCTCTATCTATCACAGATTAGGTTATTAAACATCTTCTGCTTTATAGTCAACTATTTTAGTATTAAGTTTTGATTAAACATATTATGATCATAAGTCAAACTTTCAATAAAGAACAAATATATATTATCGAATATCTAAGAATCCCAATAAATATTAGTAAATTGCTGTAGATTATGATTTAAATGGAAACCTTTGAAGAAATATGATTGTAGTGTGAATTTGTAATTTTATGCTGAAATACTGGAAAGTCAACATGTTTTGGAATTTCAATATTTTATATTCTCAATAGTTCATCAGATTACAATGAATTCATTTTTTTCAAAATCAATCGTTAAAAATAACTAAATTTAATTTTTTCAAATAATCCGATACTCTCAATTAACATATTCTATAGTCTATTGATGGTTATTTTATTCTAGTTGAAAAAAGAAATGAAACAACACTAAATTAACCACTAACACTATCTTCATTTCTCAATATAAATCGCAGAATGGATGTCATGCATTAGAACTTTCGTTTTAATACAACAGGCAGATCATAATGTATTGGACTAATTGTAAATGTAATTTTTTCTATCATTTATATATCAAAAGATAACGAACTTCAAGTTCTACAATACTGTACTTCACTTTTACAAAGAACTTTCGGCTCTATATGAGTATCCGGGCGTAATTTATCTTCAATGATTATACTTTTTATTGTCTGCTCTGTTTTTGTCATTTTCAGATACTGTTCTTCTACAAATGCCCCAGAAAACACTTTATGAGGCATTTTGTAGAAGAACAGTATCTGAAAATGACAAAAACAGAGGAGATAATAAAAAGTATAATCATTGAAGATAAATTACGCCCGGATACTCATATAGAGCCCATTTTTTTATTTTTTAGATTCTTCTTCAAGAACAACTTATTGAAGAGATTCAAACTGTGATTTTAATAGTTCTCACAGCGGCCTACAAAAATGAGATGCGAATAATTTTTAGGGCATAGTTATTTTAGATTTTTTTTTTTACACAAAAATATTTTCTTTATTCAGTGATAACTAAAAGCTGTTTTATGTACTGCTCAAGGCAGAGTTTAATGGGTTAAATTTTGGTATATAGCACTGATTCTAATGTCAAAATATTAATTAACAATTAATTAGTGGTAATTAATCAATTGATTATTAGTTATTACTAACTGATTGTTATAATTAATTAATAAAATTTTATTTTGTTTTCAATTATTAGATATCTTATGAGAAAGAGCATCAAAAATTGAACAAAATGAGGCAATTATTATTTCAGAATAGATCATTTTAATAAAGTTTTCAGTCTTAACTTGCCATAGATCACATTATTTTTCAAAAAGTCAATTAGGAAACGGAACCTTAAATCTGGAGTAATTGGCGTGTTTTGAGGAGTAGAATTTACTCGTTCAAACGACACCTAGCCACTTTTCTGTAATTTTACACATCATTATTTGGAAGTGTTGTAACATTTGAAAAGAGTATTGTATTGAGGGCGATGACGTTTCGTTTTTAATGGGCAAGTCCTACTTCTTCAAAACACTCTAGTTTTTTTAGATTTAAGGTTCCGTTTTTTAGTTGAATTTCCTAAAGATCATGAACACTATGACCAGTTAAAACTGAAAACCTCAATAAAATAATCTATTTTGAAATAATATTTATATCATTTTGTTCTATTCTCGATGCTCTTTCTCATAAGTTACTTGATAGATGAAAACAAATCGAAATTTGATTAATTAGTATTTTAATATAAGATAAATCAGAGAAATGTGATGCTATTCTAACTGAAATTTGATTAAGAGAGAGTCACAAATAAACTTCATAGAGTAGAGTAAAGGTCGAGATTCTGTCGGACAGAATAGGATAAGGATTAGAAAGTTTATCTTGCATATCTCTAATAAATACATGAAAGATACAATGATATTCGTGTATGCTTTAGTAATTTTTTCATGTTATGATAATAGAAATATGCAAGTATGAGTTCAATTTATACTGTTATCTACTCATATATTTGAAAATAAAAATAATCAAGGAATTCAGTATGTACTTAGCTAACTTGTAAAATTCATATTCATTTTATTAATTCAATTAGACTATAAATATTGGTATATATATATATATCATGTAATGATCTAGAAGAAAATATTTATTTAAGATAATATGATCAAATTTTATAATTAGAGAATACTATTTTATAGACCAATCCAAAGTCAAATAATCCAAATGAACCTGCGAGTACTTCGATACAAGTTAACTTCTATTAGATTCATCTGTTAGGTATACTATAACATTTCTTTCTATAAGACAAATTCATACATAGAGAATACATAAATTGAATTCTTCTATACATTCAACCCTCTGAGTACCGTTGGGACAATTTTGCGTCTTAATATTTTACGCTCGAATTAGTTTTTATAAATATCATATACTAATTATTCATGTGATTCGAACCGAACAAAAGCCGACGATAAGCCGTCAGTAGTTCGTTTGGTATAATGTGCACTATATTGGTGGTAGTTTGATACTTAAACAGTTGGTTATTGTCTGACCGCCATTCTACAACAGTATACTAATATTTGTTCTCTGACCGGGAGTATCCAACGAAATGAAATGCATATATGTTTACGTTTATAATATTCGCCCGCTCAAGATCAACTACATTCTCATTCTAAACTCACTTGTAAGTGTAGGTTCTCCCTTAAAGTTTAAATACATTTGAAGAGTTATCGTTACTTTTAAAAGTCACTTCCTTTCACGTTTCTCGAAATATTCATACTTTATTTTTGTGTTAAACTATTCGTTTTTGGTCGAGTTTCGTCCTCTTTCTATTGAGGTATAGCACATGTCATTCTATTCACCTTATGCAAAACACAAGCAACAGTTACCTTTGAAAGTAACTGTAGCTGCTCATCCTTAGTTTAAATCCAATCGGTTACGATTACATCTAATATCTTATCAAACTGATTAAGAAATATTATTTTGAATAATGCATTTCATGATTCAAAAACCAAACAATGATTTCGCCTTTCGAAAATTTTCATTTTTGTTTTCAAAAAAATTAATCTCGTACTCAAATGGTTAAACGAATAATATAATATATAGAATCTATGAAAATTTTGGTAAAAGATGATGATTACATACCATTTGATAATTATGAATAGTTCCGTAGAATCTTGGTTGAGCAAAGAAACAGATCTAATTGATCGAATTAAATTTATTATTTAAAACATTAGACAATTATGTATTATTGTCCTACTCATTAATGGTTTTATTTCTATTCTTATTAATCTTTCAATGGATTTTGATTATTTACATATCAATAGAATCATTTGAAACAATTCTATATATTATCAAATTTGGATTCTTCTTCTCTACGTGCAGATAAGCGTTCATAGCCTTTGGACATCAATTGAAAAACATATTTGTATCTTTTACAAATCACTATTCAATACAAAAACGAAAGTGTTTTCTTATTTACTATAGTTGATTAATTAGTATATTTCTATTCAATAATTATTATTATATCTTTTCATCTATGCGAAAAAGCAATCTTCCATTATTCACAGATGGTTTATGATGGATTATGTTATTTGACTAGTATTTCTAGGTTAGTTACAGCTAATCAATTCGTTCATAATATCATTCTTACTAATTATATAGAATTCTTTAATTCCAAGCTTGTAAGTCGAATTATTTGGAAAAAAAACATGATCATATGTCACTATTGATTCAATGACAATATAAATTTTATCTGCACCTTTGATTTACCTAACAAATGTCGAAATCTATGCTCTTATGATAGTTCTGATGTTTGAAATTATTAGCATGGAAAATGGAAACATAAATTTCTTTTTAAGATGAAATAAAATAAGCAATTATTAAGAATTGTTCGATCTTTCAATAAATTTTTAGAATAGATTGGATAAGACATGTTTCTCTTCAGTTTCTTGTTGAAATTCGCAGAAAAAGATTGACGTAGAAAATATACAGAATTCTGTAAGATAATATTTAATAAAAAAAATCATTTTCAAAATATGATAAAATAATATTATCAAATACTAGTGAATTTCCATGCAGATTAAAACAGTTTTTATCATACGTCTGTATCTAATTCATTGCAAATGAAAATGATATCGAACGAGAAAATCTCTCTAGATGACCAAAAAACTTTTAAGACGAAATTTCAATCATTAAGTAGAGTCTTATGAGTAGATATAGGCAAGATGGTCTCAGTCTCGAAATTAAAAACCATTGGCCTCGATCAAGTCTACTAATGAGACTAGACAAAATCTGTAATGATGTGTATACTTACTTCTTTGTTTTCGAGTAACGACCATTTTATTGAGTTCTTGATTTACGACGAAAGGTCCTCAAATGTGATTCGCCAATCGAACTAATGTTTTACTCATACGTAGACCTCGATGAAACTAGTCAAAACCTATGAGAATTTGTCTCCATCTGCTGCTCTTCCTAAATTATTGCAGTTTTATTGAATTTTTTATCCATGGGAAAATATTTGTGACAAATCACAATACGGATTTTTAACGTGAAAATTTCAGCCTAAAACCATGTGCTCTACTTAAGATATTGAATAATCAAAAATACTCATGAATCAAAAGGAAAAGTAATAAAACCTCAATATTTTCATAGTCCAATATCTCAAGAACAACACATTGTTTTGAACTGAAATTTTCAAAGTATTCTAAGGTTCATGAGACCTACCCATGGAAAAAATTTCAGATTGAAATTTCGCAATTGATTTTTTCACACATAGCTCGCCGGAGATAAAAAAAAAGTAAGTGAAATTGTAATAACTTGAAAAGAATAGACTATGAGAACAAGCTCTTATAGGCTTTTACTAGGTCTCATTAGGATCTATTTATTGGTAAAATATTAG